ATAACTTCCGGACACAATGGGATATTGGGGAAAAGAAAAACACATGGTCCATTCTCTCTCTCTTTTCACCTCTTTCCCTTAATTGTATATGGACAGACATTACAAACAAGTTGACAGTTGCTTGAAAGAACAACCTCTATAAAGTAGAGGGTAAAAAGTGAAAACTTTAAAAGGTAGGGGTAAAAATGATATGTTTTAAATGTTGTGTTGGAGGTTAAATTGGTAATGGAGATGTAAAATTAAGGCCTGGAAATAGGTATATTTGTCTATGAGGACCGGCCAAACTTTTAGAAAAAGAGTACTTTATTGACCATGTGGGAACTGAGTTACCCCCTAACGATCTTGTCTTACTTTACATTTTACTTTACTTTGATTTGCTTATACATTTTTTCTTTTAATTTTTTATCCTTTTAGGCAGCTTTTTCCCTTTGTAATTGATATAATTACCAAAGACACGTTTTGCTTTTCAGAAACCTGACGGTACCCACCAAATAACTTGTCAGCCTCACCCCTCTCCTTTCTCTTCTCTTTCCTCTTGGGTAAAATATGCCCTAAGTCATTCAATTATTAGTTGATTACAAACATGTCACTTTCTTTAAGTTAGAATTTAAATAAAATATTATTATAAATAGGTCTCGACCGTCAATATTAGATATAGTGTGCTTTGATATAATAATAATTTTAATCTAAAATTTAAAAATTCTATCAATTTAGTCATACTTCTAAATAATTCAATAAACTTAATCATACTTCTAAATAATTCAATAAACTTAATCCTACATATTTTAAAAAAATCAATAGCTTAGCCTTTGTTCTTCTTCTAATTGCTTGTTATTCTCAAATAAATTTTATATTATTTTTTGTTTCTTGGTATACTTACATTACAATAGTAACTTCTTGTTATTTTATGATAGAATATAGTTATCTAGCTGTTGTTTTGATTTGATTAACTCACTTGGTTTCATAATACCATGAAAAATGACTAAATTGATGAAGTTTTAAAATACGAATGATTTTGTTGATTTGTTTCGAATTAAGATTAAATTGGTAGAATGTATAAGCTTTTGGGACTAAAATTATTATTATACCATGATACATCAGACGTATGTTTTAACTTTATTGACGAAATGACATATTTGTAACAACATTTTATTCGAGTGATTAATTGTAACTTTTTTAAATACATATATCAGTTTATAACTAAACTAATAATTGAGTGACTTATAGTGTATTTTACCTTTTTTCTATCTCTATATGTGAAAAACGTAAATAGATGCGATCATGCTTACACCACTACATCTAATCCTATCTTAATTTTACAATTTAAGATTTAGATTTTACGTTTAAAGGTTGTAGTTGGAGTATATTGCTTAAACATCTAATATGTTATAATTATGAATATAATGGAAACTCAATGTTCCAGGTAATGTGTAGAAAGGACAGGAGATGAAACAAAGAAGCCGAGAAAACAAAAATGAAAGTTCCCAGATTTATCGCTTAAAAGCAGGGTTAATAAGAGATCCTTGTTGCAGATTTGGGTGTGATTTCTGGGTTTCAGTGTCTGGAAAACATAAGATGCCAATTCTCTGGACACCGACAAATCCAAACCAGACAAAACCCCTCAGGTTTCAGTGCAATACAACAAGGGGGGCCATTACTCTTACCTCATCTTCATCATTAAATTATTGAACAATGCCATATATACATCTGCTCTCGATTATGTCTCTCATCTTCAATACTCCTTGTTATGTGCCATGTTTTTCAACTTACTCCACTATTTCTATATATACAGGGACACTTTTTTAGAATAAATCATATCAAGTTAAATTAACTACACAATATCTAATAAAAATGTGACACATGACATGTTCATATTAATTGATATATTTTTTAAAATTAACTATGAATAAATTAATAATTTAGGTTTCTGTCACCAAAATATTTTGATGACCAATTTGAAAATCGAATTATAGTTAATGACCAAATTTCTATAAATCCAAAGTCTGCTTTATAAGGTGGAAAGTGCGCTTTTTTTTCACATGTTGTTTTAAGGATGAACTACATCGTTTATTACTAAACTTTGGGTTTTATAGTGATTTTCATATTGAATTATAATATGTTTCAATATAAGCATTAGATTTTGGTTTAGGGTTGAATAAATCATTGAACCATTAAATTCGAAACAATTTTGGTGCTAACGCCCAAGTCAAAAAGAAATTCATTTCGCTCCATTATTTTTTCGCACCAAAATTAAGGGCTTTCATCTATTTTCAGTTGTTGTCGAAATCTATCATTTTTAAAGTCTTTTGCTACTACCTTAGATGTTTATGAACTCATCTAATTGTCCTCTACCACTCTGTTGGTTTAGTTTCTTTTTTTCAAAATATCTTTAAAACTCACAAAATTAACCTCAAAAAATTCTATCAATTTTGAGAGGTTTGGGACTTTTTCTCGAATTTGAGGGTTTGTTTGCTTGAAAATTAAAACGACGAGAAATATTATTTTGAGAAGACGAATAACATATCTCAAAATATAACATCAATAGACGAGATCGTAGGTGAAGATTAGAGCGGTAGAATATCAAACATTTACATGATTTTCATTAATTTTGGGTAGCTTTCATGAAAACTTAATTCAAAAGAAAGAAGAAATGAGTAAAATATGAATATTTTCGTATCAATCTTTTTTATTAATAACGGTCGATGATGAGTGACGATTGATCAACAACAATTGAAGAAGTTAAATATTTTATATAAATAAATAATTATCTATCCTATTATTAACGATTTAATTTCATCCATGACACTTGGGGGAGATGATTGCCTTTGCAGCTCTGAGTTGCTTTATTGTGGGATTAGAGCATGTGTTGGGGATCAATCTTCCATCATCTCCCCATTCTGTCCAACTCAACTTCAACCATTAATTAATCCTCTTATTCCTTTTCTGTGTTTTATTATCGCACTAAATTACATTTTTAACTTTATTTTAGATACCATTCATTATTTTATTTTGTACAAATAATATTATATTTTTGACTTTTTTGAAGTATATTTAATTATTTGGTTCCAACTTATATGAGTCATGATCAAGCACACGTTAGTCAAACTTAGACTGCTTAAGTAATCATCATCCATTTAAAAAAAAAACTTTTCAAGTTCAAATTTTTCGTCCAAATAAAAAAACTATTGTTTATATAATTTTTGAGAAAATGAATTTGAAATTTAGATTTAATTGTTAAAGACTGAAATCAAATATTTTGATAGAATTTATGTTAAAAGATGAAATATTTTATATTCAATCAGAAATTCAAATAGAATAAGAAATGTAATCCTTAAGCCAGTTGTGTTTATGGATACCCCTTTGTTAATTATTCTGTACCGTACAACTTGGTCATCATGAGAAGATGGAAACCAGAGGGAAATAATTCAATTTTGTTTCTTAAACTGTACGTACCTATGGTGTTTTTAATATATATATAGAGAGAAAGAGAATGTTGAAAGAATCTAACCAAACATCAATCAGATCTTCCTCAATAACAATAATTAATTAAACTATAACATACCTTCCAATAGAAACGGAGTAATATCATGGCGGCCTTTGGAGTTTGTTGAATTCATCAATAAGGTCCCTCTACTTTAAAGTTGTATTTAAAAATAGTATATTACTTTTAAAAATATTAATCTATATTTTTATAAAGATTTCAGTTTTTTATCAAAATTTATTTACAGTCATTATTTAATCCAACAAGTATCAACAGAACACTTAAACATAATTCTTTTATCATTTCATGTATGATTTAGTACACAAATCATTAGAATTTTTTCCTGAACTTTTATGATTTTCAATTTTTTTTGCTGTGATATTTTTGGCAGTTGGCATTTAGTGGCTTGTGATATATGTATGTACAGTGAAGAAATGTCTAATACGATTCATTGAATTTTCAAAACAAATGGTGAAGATGAATTATTAATTTGTTAAAAATGATAGCTACACGATCCAGTCCTTTTCGAAACAAATATCAATGTCATGCCGACGAGAAAAAGTTAAAGATGGTGCGCAGTTTCGAGTTGTAAGTTAATTTGAAGGTTGAGAAGCTCTTAAATACCATTTCAAGATGTTCTAATTACTAATACACTCATTCTCAACCTTAAAATTAATATTTAAGACATTAAGAGTTTGTAAATTCATTTAGAAGTGATAAGAATCTTTGATATGCACCCGATAATAGTTTAAATTTATAACTGTAACTTTCATTACTTCAGTAAATAATTCGTATCACAAATTTTTGAGGCCTAATTAATACAAACTCTAACACATCATATAAGGCCAAATTTGGGTCAATCTACCATCTCTAAATGATGGTTGAGTTTAAAATATCGAATGGTTTAGAGTTAAGATTGAGTCTAAATTATAATACTGACAAATAAGAAAACATATTTATAATTTTATATATACTCGATTTAATTATTACATATCTCAATTTATAGAACTAAAAATTGTTCATAAACGAAAACTGAACTAATATTAATCCCAACAAAAAGTCGGCCGACTATGAAAAAGTTACATCTACCACAATAATTTTTTCAACTCATTAGTAAGAGTAACTTTCTGCCAAATAGGGTTCCAATTTCTTTTCCCTTTATTGAAGAAAGAGTTGACGAATTTTATTTTGAAAGAAATTTTTCTAAAAAATAGAAATAATAGAGTAAGCAAATTCTCTAGTAGAAGTGATTGCAGCCTTCTTGAAAGTGACAAATCGTGTTTCCTTCATCTTTATAAAACAAAGTACTAATTAGGTTTTCAGTTCACATTTTCTTCTTAACCGAACAGAATAATCCAATTTTTCCCCAGATTTTTTTTCTCAAAGAAAAGGTCAGGTGGCAATAGAAGAGAGGTATGGCCTGCACATCATATATATAATAAAATATATATTTATAAATATAAATTCATGCAAATTATACTGTGTGATTGAATAATACTGTTTGTTTTCTTGTGGGGATGTTCTTTTGCTTCTGTCGAAATGCCTGTGTTATTATGTGGGTGTGGGCTCTCTCTCTCTCTCTGTCTGAAACTCTCTTCTCTTTCTCTCCTTCAAAGTTGCTTCTCAAAGACTCCTTTTTCCCCCCCCAAAGAAAGTTGATATATTTGCAGAAAGCAATAGCTTTTCTTCTTCTCCATGTTCCCCTCTCTCTCTTTCCATCAGTAAAGGCTGAATTTTTCACCCTCCCCCACTAGCTCCACCACCTGTACAGCTAAAAGAAAGATTGATTGATTTGTTTTTCACTTCAAAAAATCTATCACTCAAGCTCCATAATGTTGGACAACAACACTTCAATTTCAGTTGCAGCCCTTCCGGTTCCATCTTCCTCCACTGTGGAAAATGGGGCCACACACAAAAGAAAAAGGAAGCCGGCAGGCACACCAGGTTTTGTACTAGTGGACTGTTTTCATCTTTAAATTAATCAAGACTGATACCCTATTCATGCATGTTGTTGTTTTGTTGTAGATCCTGATGCGCAGGTGGTATCTTTGTCGCCGAAAACGTTGTTGGAATCCGACAGGTACGTTTGTGAGATCTGTAACCAAGGGTTTCAGAGGGACCAGAACCTTCAAATGCATAGGAGGAGACATAAGGTGCCATGGAAGTTGCTGAAAAGGGAATCACAGGAAGTGAAGAAGAGGGTTTTTGTTTGTCCCGAACCTACATGCTTGCACCATGACCCTTTCCATGCTCTGGGAGATCTAGTCGGGATCAAGAAACATTTCAGGAGGAAGCACAGCAATCAGAAACAATGGGTTTGCGAGAAATGTTCCAAAGGGTACGCTGTTCATTCGGATTACAAGGCTCATCTCAAAACCTGTGGCACCCGAGGCCATTCTTGTGACTGCGGCCGTGTCTTCTCCAGGTTCGCTTTCAATTTCAATACATGAAACCTAGTTTGTATGATCCAACGTAATCTCATGCTGTCTCTTTGTTGCGTTTCAGGGTTGAGAGTTTCATTGAACACCAAGATGTTTGCACCGTTCGACGGATTCAACCTGACCAGTTGCAGGCGTCTCAAACGGCTTCGAGCACTAGTCCTTCGAGCGATGCTGCCAACTTCAGCATCGCTCTGTTGAGTGGATTGCCGATGCTGAAATCAACTGAGCCTGTTTTCATGTACCCGTCTACTTCAGACCATCAGCAGCAGCACCAACATCAACACAATCTTGAACTCCAACTTCTACCGACGAGGGATTCGGATGAGAATTACGCTACTCATTTGAAGCTATCGATAGGATCAAACGAAGAAAAGAATGCAAGCAGTGAAAGTGAAACAACATATAGGATGAAAGAGTTCGTGAGTGGACAGCTTAAGTTAGCCATGGCCGAGAATGCCTATGCCGAAAAGGCTAGACAAGAAGCTAAGAGACAGATCGAGATGGCCGAACTCGAGTTCGCAAGTGCAAAGAGAATAAGGCAACAAGCACAAACCAAACTCGAGAAAGCTCAAGCCTTGAAAGATCAAGCGACAAAGAAGAAAAGTGCTACTATCATGCAAATCACTTGTCAAACTTGCAAACACCAGTTCCAATCATCGACAGCTGCTGTCCCAGACGATGAAACCTCACTTGTTATGAGTTATATGTCTTAAACCACAACAGAGGGTGAAGGAGAATGATAAAAAAAAATCCACTAGCCCTTGAAAATATCATTGTTCTTGGTCTACATGTTGAGTTTTTCTTTGCTTTGTCAAGTAGTTTTTTCACTTCTGAATTCTGATATTAATGAAAAGGGGTCTTTCCAAACATCTTCATTTGTTTAGTAGAAAAAGAGAGTAGACATTGCAATCTATTTGAGATTCTGATATAAACAAATTAATCATGCCTTTGAGATCTTATTGCAGTGCTATAATATCTACAGCTATGCCATGTGAACGTTTTAGAACATCTGTACTAGCCAAAGGCCCTCATCAATAATCATATGAACCATTAGATTATATCTAAACTCGAACCCAATAGAACCCTAAGTAAGTATAAATGAGTTTATCTTCATTACCATTGGGGACCGTTTTAGCTAGAAAATTGGAAGGAACCATTCAAAGATGGCGACCCATAGATTCAAACTCCAAAATTGAACATTAGAAAAGAAAGAGAGAGACGGGGAAGGGGAAGGGGAAGGGGAAAGAAATGTCATTTTCATTGCATTTGTGTCCCTTATAAATGGTTAGAAATTAAAAAGAGGAAAAACGCCATGTTTTTCAGTGCCACAGTTGAAATGGTTATAGTCAGGCAATAGTCCTTCTCAAAACATAAACGACACATGCAATTCACATAAAAACACAGGCACACACACTCTTTCTTTCTCTCTCATTCACACACTTTATCAGTCGCAGAAAAGCTATCAGAATGGTCAGCCAGTAGCAGAACGCAGCAGCTACGGCAGAGGGACACACACACACATACACACAGCCATTTTTTCATCAACTTTTTTTAAAGACAAAACTTACCTTCTTCAACAATTCAACTATAATTCAAAACAACAAAGAATGAGGGGAAATCACTATATATAGGGTTTTTTCGTTTATCAAGTTCAAGCCAAAGGGTGAAGGTGGGTTTAAGGGTTATTAGGTTTTTGGGTTTGGGACCACGAAGAGCTCTTTCCCCACCTTTTAACGCAGTTTCATTTCTTCTTCTTTTTTGTTCATTGGATGGCCTATTGAATGTCACTTTCGTTATTTTCAATTGTTTCAGGGATGAAAATGAAATGAAGAGAAAGGGAAAGTAAAGAGAGGTAAAAGACTAAAAGGTACAAATAAAGAAATGTTCATATACATTTTCGTCCACAAATTTGATTTCAAGGCTTAATGTAGTTTCATACTTTTCTAATTAGATATTTGAATTTCCCTTTGGTTCAAATTAGATACTGATCGTAAATACCAATTTAAAAGGAGCAGTTAAATTTATATATCAGGTTAAATCCATATACATGATTGGATAAAAACTTTAACTATAAAATTAAGCCTTGAACTCAAATTCAGGAACCATGAATATACACTTTCCATTATGATCCCTACTTTTACTTTTTAGTGTGAGAGATAAAGTTGAATATCCTTTTACTAGAGTAGTGAGGCTTTGGTTTAATAGTAAGGAGGTTCTAGCAACTTTAAAATTTTGTATTTGAGTCCCATCATATTATTTGTCAAGATAAGTATATTCAATTCATTGACTATTTATTGATAAAGGCAAGTAAAATTCAATTTGATTAAAATTATTAAAAAAACCTAAAATTGTAAATTAACTGAATTAGGTTATTCGATTTATTAAATTTAATTATTTTGCTTTTCAAATTTAAGTTGAGTTGAAGCAACTCGAATAAAATTAAGTAATAAATTAGAATCAATATCAAATGGGTCTTCCACAATTTCGAAAATCTATAAATTAGTTGCCCCCAACAAAAAAAATATTAAAAAATAAAATAATTTCGTTAAATTCTAAACTATAAATAAGTAGACATGAAAATAATTAGACCTCATTTCTACACGTTAATATTACTATAAATACTTTCTTTTATATAGAAAGGGGTATTCTCCCTCAAGATTTGCAAATGTCCCTAAACTTTTCGAAATTCTGGCAAAAGTGTGGGCTATGTTTGGTCCACAACACAAGTGTTGGGCCAACTAATAGTTAAGAGCCCTTTAACTTCGGATATAAACATACAGATTGAATCCATACTAATATTTAAAATTAGGGTTTTATTTACACACATACACGGTGCGTAGTGTGATGTATAATTTTTTTTATTATCAAAGTTTAGGTATAATTTTGATATTTTTTTTATTTTTTAAATATTAATATAATTTTAGAATATATCTGGAAAATTGAAAAAAGAAATATTTATTATTAGGTAAAAGAGTAACTTTTATCTTTATAGTAGACTAATTTATAATTTTCGCATTAATTTAACTCTCATAATTGTTTAATTGCATCATTCTATATTATATCCCTAATTTAAAACCCTAATTTGAGGGCTTAAAGTTAGGATTTAAAGTTTAAGGTTTATGAGATTGTAATTTAGGATTTTAAGTTAGAGTTAACGCATAGAACGATTCAATTAAACAACTTTAAATGTTAAATTAATGTGAAAATATTATAAAAATAAAAATAATAATTTCAGACTCCTACAAAAATAAAAGTGATACTTAATCCTTCTTTTTAAAATTTATTTTAGTGATATGATAGGGGTGGCCTATGGTCAAGGATTAAATTATACCTCGTCCCGGGATCCATTGTCCTTTTCAATTTTTTATTTATTAAAATAATATATGGGTAATCTTAAATTAGAGTTTTTAATTTCAATTTATTTTAAAATATTAAAATAATAAATGGGTAATCTTAAGTTAGTGATGGTTTTGTGGGGTATGTCATGTGAAAATATCATCATAAGGGGTTCAACTTCATCACCACCTTTGTTGTAAAGCCCTTTCACAACAATACTTGTTTTTATTGGGTGCCAATAGTGATGAAGAATCGAATATTTTGATTACAGTAAACCAATATTTAGTATTTAAATTATTATTTTTGTTTTGTTTTGTTTTAATATTTAAATTTTATTTTAAAAAAAATTATACCTAACGTTTAGTTTAGGTATCAATTTGATACTCACCTTTAAAAAAATAACAGAATTATTGATGTGACATTTAAAAAATCAATGATGATGTAGTATCATCTTATGGTGACACGTCAACACCACCATTAATTTTTTAACGATGGGATATCATAATGAAACTTAAACTAATCGTTAGGTATGATTTTGGAAAAAATAAAATTTAGGTGCCAAAAAAGAACAAAAGTAATAGTTTAGGTACTAAACTTATAGTTTACCATTTAATTATTACATCGCTAACCTTTATTTCGAGTCAACCTCCCAAATAAAAATAAAATTCTATCACACTAAAATCTTGGTAAAAGTATTGTTCACGTCTCTTACTATTGCATGTAGTATTTTTTTTTCCTTCTTATATTTTAAATTGAATAAAAGGGTAAAGAACGATTCTCGATTAATTTTATAATATATTATCAGTATAATCTTATTCAATTAATTTAGTTTTTGATTAGTGATTTCTTATAAGGATTTTAATATGTGTTTTGTATATTTATATATTAAAGCATGTTTGATTCTTTTGGATGATACTTTGAGCTAATTCTCTGTCAAGAAATTAATTCATTAAATGTTAAGTTATAAAATTATCAATGATAGTAAATATAGATGAAAATTATTTATGAATAATAATCATATATTATTAGATAACATTTGAAATTAAGTGATGGAGTATAGATTTATAATATTATTAATTATATGAAAAGGAGTGAGCTGGGTTCTGGGTATAAACTCCATTCTTGATTAATATTGTACTAATGAAATATTAAGTAACATGTGATGAATATAACCATTGATCATCTTATAGATTAAGAATAGATGCACTTCGAACAATCTTATTTAAAGAATCTAATATTTCATCTCATTAAACCAACTGATTGTTGACGATAATATATTAATATTAAATCTTGAAAAAAACTGAATTTATGATTCTAGATATTTATAAAAAAAATCTATTTACCTTATATATTACATTTATATTATTTGTATTGAACTTTTATTTAATTTTAATTTTAATTTTTTAAAAGAACCCTTTTTACCTAGAGAAAGGTGTGATAAAATTTAATATGAAAATAATAATGAGATACTTTTTAATCATCAGCTGAACCAATCATTTAATATGAAAAATAATGGACGTGGAGCTTTATATTTGCATATTGTATAATATTTAAATAATATAATATAAAGAGGGTTTTTAAATAATATTCTTGGGTACCTTTAAGATTAATTAATATATTATTTTTATTAATAGAAAATACCCGAAAACTTTATCCCTTTGCCATATGTAAATAGGCCCCTTGCAGAATAATTAATATAATATTTACACCTCTATGATATATTCAACGCTAATAATAATAACATTATACATTATTTTATCAAAATATATTTGAAAACAATCTACACATTATTATATTTAAATCAAAATATAATTTAAACCGAAAATCTGTACATAATATTCCCCTATAACAAAACTTTAACCTATACACCGAGATTTTAAAAATGCTTTTAACCTAATCTAAACTTTTTTTTGGAAACCATATGTTTTTTAACATTAAGGGGAGCTAAGCTCGTAGGGGTGTAAATGAATCGAATTTGAGTGAATAATGTTATGTTTGTGTTTATATTTGTTTGTTTATTTTTTTAAGGTATTCATGTTCGATTCATATTCGTTTAAAATTTTAATATCATGTTCGTGTTTGTTCATTTATTTTTTAAATTATTTGTGTTCGTTTATTTATTGTTCGTGAACACATTCGTTTAATATTCATTTATATGTTTGTGAACATGTTCATTTGACATTCGTGAACATATTTGTTTATATGTTCAAAAAAGATAAAATTACACCATTAGTTTTTCAGCTCCTTAGGTTTCATGTTTAAACTCTAATGTTCATCCTATGTTCAATTCAGTCTATATATTCATTAATATTTAAAATGTAAAAAAATAAATAAATAAAAATTAGGTAACCAAGATTGTTCGTGAACATAAATGAACCAAGCATACATTTATTCGTGTTCATTCGTTTTTTAAATGAATATAAAAAATTTATCTATACTTATTTATTTAACTTAATAAATAAATATTATATTATAATATATGAATGATTCGAACACTTTGTTTATTTACAACCTTAATTATTTGGTTAGCGAG